ATCTTGCGATAGTGCTCGTATTTGTTTTATACAGTGAATTGTGTTGGGGTCACTATTATTACTGTTAGGAGCCTAGCAATCCCGTGCCTGTCAAGCAATGCCACCGGGCTGAAGAGCCTGGAAGGCTGAGACGATCTCATGGGTCTGAGCAGGGTCAGTCCTATCGTTGTTACTTTTTCAAAAATTTTTACGACCCCCCTCCCCCAAGGTGGACTTGGTACGACCCCCTTTTCGACCCTCGACCACCATATTCCTCTCTATAGTATTTAATTCTGGTACCACTCAACCCACCAAACTCCGCCCACTTTTTCCTCCAAAAATGCCGTCGAGCGGGGAGGAGGGGGAGGGGGGGGAGGGGGGTATCATAGCTCCTCTGAAACAGTAAAAATTTACCTCAACTCCCTAAAGTTCCACGGCATTTCAACACCTACCTTCACCAATCTTACCTATCTTCTCATCTTTTCATAAACTCAACCAGGTATACCCCCTCGTTGTTACTAGTAACAACGTAGGATAGTCCCTGGTCTGAATCCGCGAATAAGACTGTTAATAACTTCCCAAAACACCTCGAAACTTGATTCCTCAGACGAGAGCAGTTCGCATGGATCTTATTCGTGTGAGGACCTTTGGCTAGGTGCACCCACCACTTTTGCGACTATGGAGCCTAAATCCTTTTCTGAAAAGGTAATAACTCCCGGGTAATCTTCTCTTGATCGGCGGACGCATTCACTTCTTATTAGGTAACTGTATTGGCTGTCTGTTTCGTGGAAGGAACCTCCGGGATAAAATGCGTGCGCACAAGAACGTTCTATAGTAAGCTGGTGGTGAGCTGTGGAGTTATCTGAAAGGAAAAAGAATGCAAAAGAAGCCCCTATCACGTCCCGAATACAGATCCCTCTCTTTTAGCCGCATTTTATCATGGCCTTCCTGGAAAGCGAAAGGGCCGTGTTCGGAGCGTTATTTCAACCAACAAGCTAGTTCAGCTGCTTCAGTGCCACGCGCCTGCCTCCACCGCCGCAACTGCGGTCGCGCACTTCTCGCAGCGCCCACAGCGGAAGGCGTGGCTTGCCGAAATAGGTGTGGACTGCGGGTTGAGCCAACTCTTAGCGGCTTGTTGCGCATTTTTGGGGCCACAAAGGGGGCTCGACATCAACGCTTGTTCTGCTTGTACATGTACCACTGTCAAGGATGGACAGTTAAGTGTGTCCAGGAGGCAGGCCTTCAATCCCACCTGTAGTTTCGATGTTTACCAATAAATACGAAGGCTAATCAATCTAAGGAGATAAACTGTTCGGATGGGCTGGATCCTAGGAGGTCTCGTTCGCATGTAGGACCTTTAAAAGCTGGGCAATCGAGACTGGCCGCAGGCTTTCGTGATAATCCTCTCAAAAGGCCCTGCTAGCTTGTGTTTATCACCAGTCCATGATTCCCCTTGAGACCATGTCCCCCTATTTTTTGTTCCTATTTCGCCCTTTTGTTCTTACTTAGCGATTCTTCCTCCTATACGCTTCCTCTACTTGCAATCAAATTGGCCAAAGATTCGCTGACTTTACACATGCTAAAAATTGATCTCTGTACAAGACGAGGCTAGAAATAGCATTTGGAGCCGCCGTGGTTTGCTTACCTTTTACGAGGTTTACTCGTCGCGACCACTATAACACATTTCGTCGTTGGGGGTGGTCGCCTTCGCCGCCGGCCGCGGCCAACTACCGCATATGCAGCATGCGCCCGGCTTGCCATTATTCCAGCTATATTGGATCGTTTTTGAACATTGTCCGATACTGCTGGGTACGGGGGGACACTCGCTGGCTGATTGACTGACTACTGACCGACCGCGCCCAGAACCACAGTGGAGAAACGATCGAGAACCAGACAACAATGCGACAACTACCACATCGGATCCTGCTCCCTGTGTTAATATTTTTGCTCTCAGGTGAGGTTTTCTTTGATTACCTGTTTAGGCTAGACACCTTCAGTTGATTGACTTTTCCTAATATATCCTCATCTTTTTTGAGACTTCTTTGGATTTTATTAGAATTGATGCTCCACGAAAATCTTTATTTGACGACGTTTCGGGCCTTGAGGGCAAGGGCCGGGGTTTCTGGTTGGCCATAAACTTTCCCCGAGAAAATGCGGTGGCCGCAAAGGGGGAGAGCACATAAACAACTTCGGGATGATTTTACGAAGCCGGGGCACAAATGTCATAGAACGCAGCACTGGCCACGCCCAGCACCATTCAGCCCGCCCACTAATAAGTGTGCCATTTAGCTCCCTCACTACTAGAAAGAGGACTTTATATACGTCGTTTTCGACGGTTTCTTCACATTTTCTCATTACTGTCGTTACATTTCACATCTAGACTGCCACTTATAAGCGTAAGAACGCATATGATCGCGCACTGTGCCTTAAGCCCTCTAGGTCTTTAAAGACATCCATACATTACGTGCACAAACTAAGGAGCGAATCATATACGACATGATAACCGACTGTATAAAAGCACTGACCGATTTTTTTATTTATTTATTTTTTATTTAGTTTTTAAAGAGGGAAACCGGTTAAAAAGGTTCATATACCTCATATTGTATAGTGTTTTTTTTTATGAACCGTCTTTTTGTTGACCGGAAGGGAAAGGGGTTGACGAAAGGGGTTCACCTCCTCCGAAGACGGAATAGCTATTATAAAGATCAGTATCGGAGTTTTAGTTAATGTCAGACTTTGCGAATTCAGTGATTCGCTAGCGCCCGTGGTCGCATCGCGTACAGCGAATGGCTCGATTAGCTGTATGCGACGCGACCTGCGGACGGTAGCGAATCGCGAATTCGTAAAGTCTGAAATCGGCCTCAGCGAATCCGCAGAGTTGCTAATAGCGAATCGCTAAACCTATAAAGCCTGAAATCGGTCATAAGCGAAGCGATTGCCTTCCAGAACAGTGTCTTCTAAAATGATTGAAAGGAGTGCCTCATGTAAAAATGTTAGGTAGGTTGAAATAATGTTATTTTGTTCAGGGACGAGCTACAGGGAAGAATTCGAATGCCACAGGTGGGTTTTCGACAGATTTCGAAGGTAATAACTAATCTCAACTTGAGATTCAATTTTGTTTGCCACTTTTATTTTCTGAAGGTTTTTCTTTGAAAGCCATCAATCCATGTATTGCTCATTTCATAAAATTCTCATGAGCAGAACATGTATTTGCAGATACAAAAACCACTTCCTTCAGTTTCTTCATCCGCCACACCTTCCACGAATGCATCAAAACTTCAACAACAACTGGTAAGAGTGATTTCCAGTCGTCTATTTACCAATTTTGTAACTCTTATTGCTTCTCTCGCTTTCACTTTTTTGGGCTCTGGACACCTCTGGTCGCAATTACTGTGTGCACGTTCCTCCACAGATGAAAAAAGATCAGAACAATTCGAACCATTTACTCGCGGTTCTAGAGCACTTGGCATAAGGATAAACGTACGTATTGCTGTCTTCAACGAGGCTGGAGTTACGATTGACAAGGGAGCCCATTAGCATCAAGGTGACGTGCTCACATGGTGCAGAGATGAAGAAAACCCAGGCGGAACAGCACGCACCCGAGAAATGGTAGCCCTTCTAGGTCGCTGGTTTTCGCATTGATGCGAAACCACAGTTAGGTAGGGGTACGGTATCGACCTACTGCTCACAACCCTCAAAATCCCAGTTGCTTTCGCAGAGCAAGTTTTGGCATTTCTGGCGCCGAGTCTCACGGTCAGGCTGTGCTCTTGATTGGGGAATACGGTAAAATGCAGTAAGGAGATGCTCAACCAATGAGGCCTCATCACAGGGCGAGGGGGGCGCAAAACGCCCGCCCATGTGGTCGGTGAGCCGGTGCAATTTTATATTTTCTCCTAATCTACCCTTTTTTCGGAAATCTGTCGAAAACCCACCTGTGGCTTTCGAATTCTTCCCTGTAGCCGTCCCTGAACAAAATAACATTATTTCAAACCCACCTAACATTTTTACATAGAAGAATTCCGTTTATATCGTTTTCAGAAGCCACTGGCCGGGAAGCGCACTGCTTCGCTTATGACCGATTTCAGACTTTACGGGTTTAGCTATTCGCTATTAGCGACTGTGCGGACTCGCTGAGGCCGATTTCAGACTTTGCGAATCGCGATTCGCTAGCGTCCGCGGTCGCGTCGCGTACAGCTAATCGAGCATTCGCTGTACGCGACGCGACCGCGGACGCTAGCGAATCGCTAGTAGCGAATCCCTGGATTCACATAGTCTGACGATCTAAAACTCCGATACTTTACAATACATATTCTGCACTTGGAGGAGGTCAACCCCCTTGCTAGTTAGCAAAAAGACGGTTCACAAAAAATACCATGAAATATGAGGTATATGAACCTTCCAGGCCGGTCTTTCTCCTTTAAAAATCGGTCAGTACTTTTATGCGCTCGATTAACTTGTTGTATATGACCCGCTTCTTTGCTTGTGCACGTAATGTATGGATGTATTCAGAGACCTAAATAAGGGTTAAAGGCAAAGTCCGTGATCAAATTGATGTGTTCTTACACTCAAACGTGACAGTGGAAACGTGAAGTGTAACGACAGTAGTGAATAAATGTGAAGAAACCGTCGACAGAGACGCAAATAAAGTCCCATTTACAGTAGTGTGGGAGCGAAATAGCACATTCGTAGGCGGGCCTAATGGTGTTGGGCGTGGCCAGTGGTGCCTTCATTTCATTAGCGCCTCTGCCTGGTCAAATCATCCCGAAAGGTGTCTATATGCTCTCTCCAGCCTCCCTTGCGACCATGCATTATTCCTGGGGAAAGGCTCGGTGTCTACCATGAACTCCGGACCCTGCCTTTAAGGCCCGAAACGTCTTCAAATGGGGTTTTTTGGAGGAGTTTAAATTATATAAAATGCCAAGAAGACTTGTAAAATATGGTGATAGATGGGAAATAGTCAATCAACTAAAGGTGTGTAGCCTAAACAGGTAAATCAAGTAAAATCCCACCTGTGAACAGAAATATTAACACAAGGAGCACGGATCTGATGTGGTGGTTGCCGTTGTCGCATTGTTGTCTGGTTCTCGATCGTTGTCCACTGCTTGTCTGGGCGGTCGGTCAGTAAGTCAGTCAATCAGTCAGCGAGTCCCACCTCAGTGTACCCAGCAGTATCGACAAGCTCAAAAACGATCCAATATATCTGAATAATGGCAACGCCGAGGCGCATTGTGCATATGCGTTGTTGTCCGCCCAACGGCGGCGACGACCACCCCCAACGACGAAATGTGTTATAGTTGGTCGCGACGAGTAAACCTCGTAAAAGGTAAGCAAACCACGGCGGCTCCAAATGCTATTTCTAGCCTCGTCTTGTACAGAGATCAATTTTTAGCATGTGTAAAGTCAGCAAATCTTTGGCCAATTTGATTGCAAGTAGAAGAATCGCACAGGAAGGAAGAATCGCTCGGTAGGAACAAAAGGGCGAAATAGGAATGAAAAGTAAGCAACATATCATAGATAACCATGCCCAATGAAAAACACGAGCTACCGGAGCCTTTTTAGGATATTATCGGGCGGAAGAGCCAAAGTGGCCCAGCTTTCAGAGGTCTCTCACTTTACTACCCCTATAAAGAACCGCACTATCTCATTATTCCAAAGCACCATTTATTTTTCACACGAGTTATTAGCTAGGTCCGCAGCCTAAACAACTCACCAGCTGGATTAAGGCACGTCAAAGACAATGACCACTCACCTTTCCCATCCCGAGGGTGGTAGACAGGCAGACTAGCATCGGTGCCATGCCCCTTTGTGATTTGAAACTGCACAATAAAAGCACCAGAAGCCCCAACAGTCACGGGTACACGACAGGAGGTCCGTCGCGTGGCGAGAAGACAGAGACGCCACTCCGGTCAGGCGAAAAGAATTCCAGCGTGGATTGTGCGTGGGACACTACTATGTACATTCCGATTTAGCTTGACACCTAAATCGCTACAGTACCGTTGCGCTTCCCCTAGCCGTTCGCCTCTCCCTGCTTGATCGACGGCCGGCTGCCTCCAGGGGCCGTATGCTGAATGTTGGGTAGGGGACGGGGATGGGTGAACGTTGGGGAGGTTCGTCGCAGGACCCTTCTGGGCAGCTGTCGCACCTTCAATATTGCAGCTCTGTTTGTATTCTTTCATCGCTGCTTTTGGTATGAAGAAAGATATTTACGTGCGAATATACAATCAGAAACAGTAAAAGGGTGAAAACAAAGCTGCAAAATCAAAGGTGCGACAGCTGCCCAGAAGGGTCCTGCGACGAACCTCCCCAACGTTCACCCATCCCCGTCCCCTACCCAACATTCAGCATACGGCCCCAGCGGGACTCGCAATAACGCATTTGTGCCCCGCCAAGTCTGACTTCCACCTGAGCGGCGCTGTCGAGCAAAGTACACAGTTTGCGGCCGTTCGACCGGTAGCGTTGTGGCCGGAGCATCTGAGTTGCTGTTTCGTAAACTCGTCTTAGGCACGCTCTCTTTCCCATCTGAGGTGAAGTGCGCTGACGAGGAAATGTTTTGTTCGGGGTCAATTCGAGGGCTTTCTTACTACTCTGTTCCTATTACAGATCACAGCTCAGCGCACTTTTCTACTCGAGCTTCAACACGACTACGCATTTCTCGTCTCAGGCTTTCTTATAACACAAAATAAGCTTTTTCACATATAAAACAAAATAAGACTAAATATATGCGATGGCCCCCCAACTTCCCCAGGGAGTTGGCCTTTCCTTCACATTTTCGACAAGATAGGACCTCGCAGCCGCAGAAAGGAAGTGTGGAGCAGTGGTTAGAGGTCCCACACGCGAATAACACACACAGCAAGTTCTCTAGTCCATGCCATCAAAGTTTTGAGGCATTGCTGGGAATCCAAGGACAAAGCCAGGAGAGCGAGGGTGGCACAGCGGCTGCAGCTACTTCGCGCGGAATGAGCCCATGGGATCCTCAAACCTTTGAAGCTTTTCGCCCCTGTGGCGTTGCCCGACAGGCAGGAATGGCTTCTACTAGTAACAATAGTGACCTCAGCGCAGTCCACTGGGTAAAACAAATAGGTGTCGAGTGCGTAACGCATCCCCATGAAATGAGGACCGAGTGTCTACCTCCCTGAGAAAGGTCAGGTCCTCCTCGAAAAGAAATCACCATCCCTGACAAAGTTTAGCAACTAAATCACCTGACCCTTTCTCGGTGACTGCGCTCGGCAACCCGTGTCAACAATAGCACTACCTTTACTTTGAGGCTGTTGTGGGCTGTCCGAATCTAGATCTTCAATGACGCAAAGTTTGAGGTTTGTTCAACTTCATGTGTTTACTTTTCGCTACGACTGTAAACAATATTTTCAGCTAGTGAGAAGTGAGTGACTTGAAATCGAAGGGTTGCGAAAAATAAAAGAAGGCAGAAGAATTCGATGAGCGGTTATACAATGATTTGCGCGTGACAGCCGCAGATCGAGTCAGCGTTTTTTATCGTCCGGGACAAGTCTGATAGGAATCATTGAGGATAACAGGGGGAGAGATTTGCTTTTCCTGAGCGAGTTTCGATTCATCGGGAGTGACGCCTCCAACCATGGCGCCACATTGGCTAAGAATGTTTCTTTATTTAGTATTTATTGCATTCACAGAGCGCAATCGGCATTAACGAATGTAGGCCCTAACGTAACACAAAGTGGAAAGGCGCCCAGCAGAAAGGTACTGACTTATGAAAAGTGTTGATAAAGACAAATTCGAGTT